GTTGGGGAAGCTTTTATGCATGGCTTCCTTGCTGACAAGACCAGATTACTTAGTTTAATGTTCTTTAGGTCCAGTTTTGCTGGTTGACCAAGGTAGGATAGTTCACCCAGCAACAAAAATTGTCATAACTTTCTCAACCTCATGTTGTTCCAAACTTTTTTCTTCAGTAGAAGATATTTTGAAAAATGTCTTTGTGTTTTTTGTTTCCATACAATGAATGTGTGTGATCTAATGTTGTTTTGGACCCCATTGACTTTCATTGTATGGATAAAAAAGTATAATCTGTCGTGTTCTGCAGAAGACAAAAAGTCATAGAGGTTTGAAACAACATAAGAAAATTATGAGAGAATTAACATTTTTGGGTGATCCATCCCTTCAAGGTAATAGTTCACCCACAAATTAAACTTCTGTCATCGTGTTGTTCTAAACCTTTATGACTTCTTTCTTCCATAAAACAAAAATAGGAATTTTAGGTTGACGATTTATTCCATATAATGGAAGTGAATGAGGACTAGTGTTCCAAAACCTCCTAAATGGCAAAAAAAGTATCATAAAATTAGTTTGTATTACTATTTGGCTATACTCCAAGTCTTCTAAAGTCATATTTCTAAAGTCAGCTTTGTGTGAGGAACAGATAAAAATTTAAGTTGTTACTGACTTAAAATGGGATGTATTGAAAGAAGTAAACAATGTAAAATTCATGAATGAATTATTCTTTTGAGTCAGACCTTATCAAATGAAATTATCCATTTCACATGAATTGGTTTGGATCTCACTGAAAAACAACTTAAATGTCAGTGTTTCTACCTATAGGGATGCCACCATACCAGCATCTAAAACTCTAAGACATATGCTGGTGACCAGAACTGCTGGTCTTTTCAGCATGCTTAACACAAAGCAATGGCAACAGTGAGGCTTGAATACAGCAAAAGATGGCTGACATGTCGAGAACCAGAAAGAGAGAGAGGATTGGCAGATAGAGAATAGCCTGCAGTGTTTCTGCAGAGAAGTTTGTGTGTGTGTGTGTGTGTGTGAGAGAGAGAGAGAGAGAGAGAGAGAGAGATGGAGAACAAGAGCGAAGGCAAGAGAATATAAGACAGAGATAGAAAGAGAAAAGATAATGAGTAAAGGCAGTGAACCATAAGCCACTGCTACACACACACATACAAATGCACACACTCGCATGTAAGGCCTCGTGCTAACATGAAACACTACACAAACTAACACACACACAGCAGTATCTAACATAGTGCAGAAAACTACTGCATGATTAAGTTTGTGTTACATAAGCACAGCTGATAAGAGTCTGTTTTCAACACACTAAACTGTCTCACCCTCGCATGAAGGTCGGGTAATTAATAAAGCTCGGGAAGGTTGCTTATTTTCTAGAAGAAAATCCATATTACACCTGAGGTTTTTAATGACACAATCTCAACAAGAAACCGAACACTGCTAGCATTTCATTAGCCGCCTCTCTGCTTACAGGTTGAAAAGAGAGACCGAGAGCAATAGAGTGATACAGGGAATAAAAGAATAAGGGTACATCCCCGGAGACAGACAGCCAGCAGAAGATGAAAGGACGTGGCACAGAGAGAGAGAGATGAGCGGGAGATGATGTGCACAGAGATGGAGAGCGATAAGCAACAAACATCAAACTGCTAGTGAATAGACCCAGGGAAAAAAAGAGGCAAAAGCAAGGCAGTTAGTCCCTGGGCTCTGAGTCTTTTAGCACTTGGCCTATTGCCTTCTGAAGACCAACGCTAACTAGACCGCTCCACCACCATTGTTCGGCTGTAATTGGAGCTTTCAGCTCAAGACGTGCTCGCTGCGCCTCAGCCTGACAGTCCGGCTGCCTTCCATTAAGCTTTAATAAGTGAATGGGAAAAAAGGGGTTTCTGTCACCCCGTCGGGAATGAGGAAAAGAAAGAAACAGTGCCTGGGACTATCTCTTGCTCTCGGTCCGCTCCCGTCTGCGTGTTTTGTTTCCCGTCACGACAAAGCTGAGTGACTACAAAGGTAACATCTATAATGGCCCTGATCTATTCATTGCATGCATGCACCATCTTCTTACTGTAAAAAGGGATGGACACATTGCAGGCGAGGGGGGAGAAAGAATGAGAGGTGGCCCTCCAGACAGGCGGAAGTTTTAATGCGCCTCTTTCATTACAGAGAAAGGCCTGTGTGGTTTGGGTAATATCTATCTGAGGCAACATCAGGGCTGTGCCCAGGAAAAAAGTGACTCAAGTATATACAAAGAGCGTTTGATGTGTGTTTTAGTGCTGCTTGCAAACCAGAATTTGTTTTTGTAGAGGACTGCTCTCAGCGAGTTCTTCATGACCTCAGGTGTGCTTTCAAAAGATATGTTTACGATAAGGTTCACTTTGATTGTTTTTACTTCTTGCAGTATCATTTAGACATTAAAAGTACATATTTTTCAGATCATCATTCATGACTAAAAAGACTATGCCAGGTTGAATACAAGTTAAGTTCTAGCGACAGCATCTGTGGTTGCGGATGATTACGAGAAAACGGAAATCAAATAGCAAATATAGATGTATTTTGTAGTTGAAATATTGAATATTAATTTGCTTACTAATACAAATTAAGTATGCAAGATTAGAATTTGATTTGATTTACATACCATACAAAGTTTCCAGAATGCTACACTATTCCCAATTTTTTTAAAGTGTGCAATTGTGCATTTATTTCTTGTAAAGCTAATATTGCCTGAACTATGAACACTTTTTTTTTTTACTTTTACATTTTATTTAAAAAATTGCATAAATATACATTAATATGGATATATTTTACTTGCACTCAAATTAAAAAAAATTTTGGTTAGATACTTTTAATTGATTAGCATTTTGACAGTACCAGTAAATACAATTTCTCTATACTTTTTTCCACTCCTATGCATTAGGTATCATGAACGAACAATGAGCAATACTTTTACAGAATTTAATAATCCTGGTTAATGGTCATTTCTAAATACTATTCTATCTACATATACTAAAATATTTTTAGCCTTTAAAATTGTATAAATGAATGTATTATGAACTAACATGGAAAATGTAACTATTTAAAACATTTTAAACAATGAACAATAGTTTGTGTGTTTTATTACAATTTAGTACTATTATATATAATTGTATATGTATATGTGCTAAATGGTTGCCATAAATGTGTATTAAAAAAAACTACAGTAATAAATGCTTGTAATTGTTGGTTCATGATACCTAATGCATTAATGTTAATGGCTTATTGTAACTTATTGTAGTGTGTTGCTGGCACATTTGAATTTTCATTCGTTTCCACTCCAGAGTTTGTTTGAAAAGTTCACAAAGTGTATCTCACAGAGAAGTGAAGTCTTCAAGCAATCAAACATCACTTCATCTTCCACCCGTTACCTCATGCCACTGAAAGTAAACACCACAGTGTATGAACATAAACAACCTAGAAAATAGCATCATCTTGCATCCCACCCTTTTACCACATCCCTACAGGACCCCTGTTCCTGATACATGATGGGGCCCTTGTGAATGCCAAGTGGTTTGCGACAGCATAAACAAGTCACTGTTTTAGTCAGTGGTTCGTGAAGTGAACTGCCCCATGCCAACGATGTTTATCCAACTTCAAACAGCAGTACAGCCACAAGCCACCAGCAGCAGCCAAAAAGTTAATCATAAAGATGACAAAAACAAAATCCGATAGTTTACTGCCCTTTAGACAGCAGTTAGCATGCCGGGAAAAGTTACAAGCACCTGGTATCTGTCTGTGATAGAATAAACATAATGCCCCCACACTGCAAACAAAACAGACAGAGAGTGGTACCAGGGCAGAGACAGAGATAAACACAATGAGGAAGGGTGAGAGAGAGACTTGTGCAAGAGAAAGAGAGAGAAAAGGACTGAAGAAGAACCAGACACTGACTCAGCATCCACATGAATGCATTGATTGATTTGAGGTGTCGTTTCGGTAATGTGGTCTGTCCCTCCAAAATGAATACCGAGAAGTAAACATGTATATCACCACAAAATTGATAGGCACTCTGTCATATTTCATCTCCCAATTAAATGACTGACATTGTGCTATAAGTTCCTTTCCCTGGTGCCCAACTACAGCTAATATATCTTTTAATTCAGCAGAGTCTTGCAGACAAACACCCACACTAATGCAGCTATTATGAGCTAATTATCATAGCACATGTTTTTATTGATTGTGCCTTCTCTCTCATTTTATTTGAGTTCTTAAACAAACAGCTGTAAGTGCTAATTAAGGCTGTTTATTTTCACCAATGTTAAATGGTTACCATTTGTCTTTATTGTGATAAATTTGCCAGTTAAATTAATTTGTTTCAAGAGCGTTTCATCTGCTAAGCCATTTCATGATGTTGGTTCTTATTGTTGTGACTGTAAGAACTTCCCTCCTGTTTTATTGAGTTTCCTGTAATTAAGATATTGCCTTTAGATTTCGACTTTTGGGTAGTTGAACAAAAACATGTTTTTCAACATAACACTATAGATTAGATAGATTATTATTTTAGATTTTGATATTTTTATGCCCGTCTGTTTTGTCATCAATAATTCATTGGTGCTCTTCTGAGAACATAAGTCTTCTGCCATTTCAAAGTGAATGGTATCCATTGCTCTCATCCATCTGTACTGTCTTTAAAATCTATCACACCCAGGGCACTTTTTAATCGGTGAATACGACTTAAAAATTTCAATATTTGTCAGAATTATTCAGTTCTATAGAAGTTTCTAAAAGTTAATGTTCCAACACGTAATTGATGATAGATGCTTTCAATCAGGAAGAGTTATTACAGCTGCTAAAATCAACATCTACTTTAGGTAGTAATGAGTGCAATTAGTCTGCTATTTTCCTTCACTCTTGACATTTTTTTTTTTTTTACTTAAAAAAATGTTTTATTTAATTTTGTAAATCTTTGTCAGTTATAAAAGTGTTCTTTATTCTCACTGTTATTCTTTCCACGTGTTTAGGTCTTCTGCAGGAGAGTTTCATCGAGGAACCAGATGGCTTGGTGTCCGTGAACTTGCTGGTGTTGTCAGCGGTTTCAGCGTTTGCCACCGGGGCGGCGCTGTCAGGTCTGATGGTATGTTGGATAATGAGCCTCAAGCACCGCCAGCACTCCAGAGCCAGTGGATCTGGAATGGGGAGTCATCGCAAGAGTGACAAGGAGCAGAGCATGCTGGGACACGGCCGCAGCGGTTCCGTGATCAGCGTGACACGTATCAGCGGCAGCGAACGACCCCGCTCGCAGGTTGAGAACATGTTCACCAACGGCTGGCCAAAATCTGGAGACATCGACCCAGGACTTCCCACTCCAGAACAGACGCCTCTGCAGCAGAAACGTCCCACTCCTAATGTCCATCTCACAGACTGCGATTGGGACCAGAGCCATACTTTCCTCGCCCAGACAGGGACACCCTGCCCAGCGAGCTCAGCAGTCATTTACTTGAGCTCCAAATACCTGCAAGGTGGGCGGCAAGAGGGATCGGGTGATGTTCCTCCTCATTCAGAGCGTCAGCGGTACCTCATCCTCTCGCATCCATCGAATCAGCGGGAGCAGGGTGGGCGACCCTCCGCCCCACCTACTCGCAACTCTGCTGGTGAATACAACTATCCGGCAACACCTCAGGACTCACCTGACCGCAGGAGGGTGGTTTCGGCTCCTACCACACAGTCGGATTATGGCGACCATCTGCGATGGTCCCGCGACGGACTCAACTTCAATAGCAACAACGCAACTCCTTCTGGCCACCACCCATATCCGATACAGCCGCGCACTAATGCAGCGTTAGTACGGCCAGGTCATCACACTCAGCGGGGACTCAATGAGATACAGGACTACAGCCACCTGCTGGTGAAAAGTGAGCGCAACCCAAATGGCCAGTGAGTGGTCCAGGCCCGTTCACCGTCCCATCACCCTCAAGACTCAGACTCCTTCTGTAATCCTGCCCTTCCTATCCTCTCTCACTGCCATCCAGTGTCTTTCAAGTCCCCCACCAGTGGCTGAGTTCTAGGACTACCGAGAGTGAGAGAACGAGAGTGTTAATGGTTGGTGTTAAAGCCGCTATACTCCCCTGCCTGCAGGGTGACACCACTTAGCACGTTAGCGGCTTCTATCACACCCTGTCTTATAAAGCGGAAGGATCGCTTAGGAAAACGGATCCGTTTGGGTGATGGGAGGTGAAATACATAATCATAATCCTGCAAATGGCTACGTTGACTGTTTAGCATAGCGAAGCAGTTGCGGATTGGTTCTCTGTGTAATCTCACACTCTGTGCACCTTTCAGTGGAAGTGATCCGTTTCGCTTTCACCTCTCTTGCTTTATGTTTGCACCTGTGGATGCTTCTTTTGTGCATCCGGGACCTTTGCAGACAAGCTCAAACTTCCTTGTGTCTGTTTGTATATGTATGTGAGCCACGCCAAAACGGGGATTAAAATGTGTTTGTCGGCTAGGCTTGATATGAAAGCAAAATGGCCGACCAACACTGGAGTTTCTTAAGTGATCTGATGTCAAATGACTGACTATCCCTCCATCTCTTAACCTATTATGTGTCAGGAAGCAATCAAGACAACTGCCATGTGACTTTAAAGACTTGTGTGCTGGAATATCAGATTTAAATGGGTCATGGAAAAGAGCATTCGCCAAAAATCATGGAATCATGCTTTCTGGACGGAACAGGGAAACACTGTGGAAATATGTTGTTGGGTGGACCCATTTATTTTGTGGTGTATCTTAAAAACCAAGACGTTTAATGTGTTTTTCATCCCCTACACATGCTAGCATTAGAGCAGAGCATTTGCAACACTTTCTCTTTCTTTCGCTCAGCCTGGCTTCGTTCTCTCTGCAGTCCATTGAGTCAAATGTGAGCTCGGTTGTCTGGGCCGAGTCGGGCCGCTAGGGAGCTGCATTCAGAGTGTCTCACTGACACTGGGTGTCTTTGTGCGGCCCAGCCAAAGAAGACCATCCCAACAAATAGCCGTTAAGAGTCATGGCCTAGCCATCAGCCCAGCCCAGGAGAATGTCAATGAGGAGCCAGACAGATCGGACCCCTCTGGGTCCCCCCTCACTGCCAGCCTTCACAAACCTCACAGAATCAGACGAGTACAATGTTACATTTAGATGGAGAGCAAAACAATCAGACCCACTGGGCTCCCAATGGCACTGTGCCCGTCTGGCTCTCTTTGGATTGCTGTTTGTTTGTTTCAGGGTTGTAAACCCCACTGGAGGCAAGAACGAAATAGTGTACTATTCAATTCATTCACCTCTCAGTGAACGACGTTATCTCTGCTTTCTTCCCATGAGGCACCCGTAATTTACCAAGCATTACCTGAGTGTGTCCACTAGAGGACAGTAATACATAATGCACTCTGCATAATGCAGAGATTTATTTTTATTTTTTTACTTAGTGCTCAATGGACCCTTTTCACAGTGTGAGATGACACATTTCTGGAGTAATTAACATTGTAAAAATGTTTTAATTTTAATTTTACGTTTTTTTTTAAAGAAATTCATACTTTTATGATTTCAGAAGGATCATATGACACTGAAGACTGGAGTAATGGCTGCTGAAAATTCAGTTTTGCAGTCATATTTAAATATAACTGTTATTTTAAATTTTTGTATCAAATAAATGCAGCCTTTGTCAGCATAAGAGACTTTTTCAAAAACAAAATGTTTAGTAGAGTATAACACTATACATTTTTACATTTGCCTGGCATTTAATTACAAAATAAATCGTAAACACTGCTGCAGTGCGGTTTCTAAGGGATTGATGATCAATTTGACATCTTTCTCTCTCCTGACTGCCATAATCAATCCTTGTTTTACTTCTACTTCTTCTTTTGGAAAGTCATGGAAATACAATATTGATTTTATTCTTGTACTGTTGAAACAAATGGTAATGCAAAAATAACATTTGCTATGGTCTCACATTTATTTCACTAGAAGTCTACCCTGCTATTGTTTATATTCCAACCCCAAAAATGTGAAAATGGTCCATGAGAGGGTTTGACATCAAATATTTAGTGGTCCTATAATCAACAATACATCAACACTAAGTATATGTTGGTTTAAAAACAGGCAGTGTTCCAAATGAAAAGTCTGTTGTAGTGATAACAGAGAGAGGATTTAAGGGCACAGAGTAGGAGTGTGTTTTTTTGCATGTGGATGTATGAAACCCATTGAAGCTGAACATTAAAGCAATTATTGAAGTGTTTAATTTATAGGTTTTAAGTGCCAATGCATGACTGAGTTCAAAACTCTGTGTGTGATTTTTACACGATCAACATTATTGCCGCTGATTTTTAATTGTAACCCAGCTCATCTGTTCATTTTGGAACTGACTAAGGCCCACTATGTGCTGAAAAAAGGTCTGCCCACCCGTGCATGCACTTGCCCTGCTTCCCTCTCACTGGTTTTTCACTCTGTTGCACCATTAGGCAAAACATGCGTGATTACGCTAAGTCTATCTTGGCCTGATAAAGCCTAGAGATGATCGTGAGAGACGTGCAGAAACACATGCACCCACTTGCTTACTCACACAGCCAGATTTTACAAAGCAATCGCCTGAGATGTGGGCAGCAAAACTCAAGCAGCAAGTCATCTTCCCGACCTCATCCCATATAAGTAATATTCCCCGGAATAAACCAAAAACAAGCAGCAAATGCAGGTAATACTTATTGTGAAACCCTGTACGCAGTCTCCAAACACTGCCGGGGTTAATTCGCACGAGATTTTGAAGCAGTGAAGTGGAGTTAATTTGCTGCGGAGCTCTATAAAATGTGTTCCCGGAAAAGAAAATAAACAAGGGTTTTTTCACTGTTTTCCTATGTCGTAATTCTCTCAAGCAAGAAATGGAATCGGCCATAAAAACTCTGCTAGGGTTTTGTTTGGACAGAATATATCTAGCCCGGTTTTAGAAAGCTCCCTACTCTCAATTTTCCAATTAAAATTCTGTCTATGAACAGTGAAGACAGTGTGCTCGGGGCTTTCTCGTTGTCTGGGCTGTTTTTTTTCTTCTTCTCTGCTTTGTCTTTTAAAGCCCTGAGATTTTTTTTTTTTTGACGACCCCCCAGCCACAAACTGCCACAGCTAATGGGCCACCCGACAAAATGTGCAAACACAAAGATAGAAATGGTTTGTTTAGAAATGACATGCCTTCAGTATGCAAAAGCTGACATCTGACAAGCACAAACAGAGTTTGAATTTTTTTGTAAATTTGTAGAGAATATAGTAGCCAGTACTGATACCTTCATTTTTATATTTGTTTATTTGTTTGTTTTGTGGTAATGTTTTAGGTTGGTTTATTGAGTTCATGCAAGTGATTTGATTTGCTCTCTGGTGTGTGAATGTTTTCAACGACAGTGATTATACTGCGACTGTGACCTGAATTTCAGTGTTTGATCCTGGTTTCTGAACTGTGCAAAGCCTTCTTTTCTTTCAAAAATTGGATTGGAGTAATTTCTCCTGAAAGAAAGAGAAGAAGAAAAACACTTTTGCGAAAGAGCCAAGTCTTCTGTTAACTGTGATGGATTTCTGATTTGTCTCGCACCGGAGACTGTTCGTGTTACTGGGTCCATTGTCATTAAATGACAAGTCGTGTCCCCTTCAGTGTACATAATTATTTCAGTGCTTAAATGTAATTTAAGTGAACTACCTGCATGAACACAGCCTTGGTCTGGAGTCCACAGAGGTAGTGTGTACTTCAACATGACATGCTACTGTGTGCCCTAATATTGTCCACCAATCAGACAGTCACATGCATGCTTTCCAAATCAACCGCACAAATGCACATAAAGACACGCGCACACAAACACACAAGATCATTTGGACAGTGGGGTCCAAAATTTTCTATTTAGCATTTTTCTTATTACAAATTATATTATTAGCGTGATAATTTAAGTGAAAAGTTTAACTGAAAAACTGACATATCAAAATGTCTTTGTAATCAGTTTGTCCCTCTTTTGCTTTAACAGCAGCTCTCAATAGTTTGTGTAAAACCTGATGATTGTTCTTCAGCATGAATTGAAATGATCCAGAGAGCATCTTGTTTCAATGGAAGTAATAACATCTTACCATCTCTAGAGTCACATGAAAAATGACAAAAATGTTCTTATTTGTTAGTGACCATGAAATAGTGCTAAATCTTAAATATTTCTTATTTATTTTGTGCAATAAAGGTTCTTTGTTGAGAATTGCTCCAAATGCTAAAACTTGTTTATTTTCAGTCCCAAATTTACAAAGTTTTCTGACTTTTGGATCCCACTGTACTTAAACATACATGCGTACACACATTTTTGCATTTGGAAACTCATTGTCCTCAGTTCTGGCTGTCATTGAGCATGGAGACTGTGCTCTGTTATCATTTCCTGTTCTAATAAACCACCAAGAACCTAACTGCTCTGTTGTTTTCTTTAAGTTTTTCTGGTGCATTGCATTATTTTTGTTGTTGTTGTTTATTACTAAGGGATATTATGAAGGGCTACTTGGATCTTATTGAAGGGGTTGAAGAGAGACATAAGACAAGGTGAGAAACCCTGTTCTAAAAGACAAATATCAATATCTCAGAAAAGAGACTAATGTTGGGTTTGCTTGCAGTTCAGTTTTATTTTAGCAATTGCTCATTTTTAAGTGGTATATGTTTCAGTTCTTCCTGTCCTTCTGCCTTTGGGCTGTCCTGTTGTTTTAGACACCGTATATAAACCATAAATGTGACAGATCTCAAGAGTACTGGTTCAGAGTGCTTTATTCATTTCTATTCAAAAGCCAATAAGTGTTCTGAGATCAGTACTCATCACCTCAGTGGTTCTTTATAGCAGCCTGCACTGTTTGGTTATTACACCACAGAATAATTTGTGGTCGTCTGATAACAAGCATGACTGCAGACATGAGCTTGAAAATGCCAAACAGATCTCGCAATGAATCTGAGCCACAATTTTATATTATTTTCCAACCCTGAAGCTCTGAATATTTATTTCTACCAATTTATTGCCAGACAAATTCACGTTCCCTCATCGGGATTTGACAGAAGTGGAATTGTAACAAGCTCACCTGGAGCCTCAAGTGAAAAACGAAGGTCAGTATAATAAATCCTTTTGTTGATGCTGTTTACAGGCAATGTGTTTGGAATTAAACCACTACTCGCGTATCAAACACACACAAGCTTACTAGCTACAAATCATGGTCATCCAAGCAACTAAAATAGCCTGATTAATAGCAAAATTGGGTCAAGCTCATGTATTTGATCTACAAGCCTCATGTTAAATATTATGCTTTAATGTGAATGTACTCATATTGCATGTATAGTCTCAGCAGATTATTTACATTTACTGTTTTACGAATTTACAATTAGTCTATGCATCCTATTCTCTTGAAAAGTGCTGCTGATACAACAGATATCCACATGGTAGCAGTGTTATCCTTCTCACATATATAATAGCCCAACAGTGTGAGACAACATTATCAACCTGGATTCAAAATCTAACTGAAAATTATTTTTTCTTTTCTTCTTTTTTTGAAGAAAATGAAGACAAATAAGAATTTTCTCAGACTTTCAGACCCAACTGTAGAAGTGATGTACAGTATCAAACCTTTTGTAATATGTCAGGTTGTCATCTGCCATCCAAGCAACTGCTTTTAATTAATATTACATAAAGTGAACAAAGGACTAGAGGGAATTAAGGAACAAATGCATCTAAATGTTAATCACAACATTTGTGCCACTTAAATGGTAGGCAGAGATGATCTGCCCCATTCAAATTAAACCATCCTAACTTGATTAGTACTAAGTAAATAGGGTGATTGTTTTAAATTGGGTTAAAATGTTGATCACTGGTGAATGTAACATTTTCTCTTGAACCCACCTTTTCCATACTTCAGTGGTTAAAACAGTTTTATTTTGGATGATCTAAAGAAAATGAGTTACAACAAAAGAATATTATCTGTCATAATGACTGTTTAATATACTATGGCAACATAACTTTAATTAAACTATATGGCTAAAAAAAGATGTAATTATATAGAATAATATTTCAATAAATAGGCTACATTTGTATAAATATTTAATAGCAATGGTCAAAAATGTATAAATATGGACATGTTCTGGATTTCCTGAGAGACCGTGTTGCTATAACAACAGTCTGCTGACTTTCTGTTCAGGCACATGTTGATTTGTAAACAGGAGAACTCGTTACTTCATATAGATCATTGAGTTAGACAGTGGAGGAGAGCACTATGTTCATATTTTCAAGAAACACAGCCCTCGAGAGTAATTCAGAGCTGTCCGACTGCAATAATCTGTAATCAAGCGAAGCTGAATAATTGTCATGCAGAAATTCACAGAGCTCCTGAAGTGGGACTCCCTCAAGTCTACGCATGATTTGATTTGTGGCATTAAATGTATAGAAATTCCCTCAATTTCCAGATGCAGTCTTTAGTGTTTATTTAAAATGTCATATTTTCATAATAATA